GGAGTACACATCTTTGTAATTACTCAACCCTTGGAAAAATAAAATTCAAATTTGGATGATGGGATATTTCAGTTTTCTAAAGGTTACAGTGACCCCAATTTACACATTTAATTTATCTTACTTAAAATTAGAAGAGGGAATTTTAACTGCACTGCTGACATTTAAGTTTTATCAAGTTTTTTTTTTAAACTTATTAGATATCGAAGAGGAAAAGTTGTAGTGGTTTATTACAATAAAAGCAGTAATATAATTTAGCTGTATAAAAGCCTAATCTTTTAAGAACCTGATTACATGGATATTGTGCTTCTGTTACTGATGCAATACATCACATATAAAGAGTCCACAAAGCCTCTGCAAGTGATGGCTTTTGTTTTTGAGTGTTTTTTTTCTTGGCAGAAACATAAATGTGATAATAAGATATATGTTTTAACACAAGATGCTTGGTTGTTGTTGCTGATAAGACAAAGGCCGAACACAGCATTCACCATCATTGAAATATTGTTTTATCATTGTCGTGGCAAGAGTGAGATACCGAGTAAAATAATTCAGACAAACCATTACAATTTAAAGGATCATTTAATATTACAATTATTCTGAATAGAGTAGTATTTAAACACATAATCTTGTAGTTAGGGAACAGAGATCAGAGAACAGAGACTCTCCTCTTGCAATGGAATAGATGAAGCATAAGAAGATTGTCAGAAGCACCAGTCAGTCGAGTCATTGGATGTCTGTCCCGAGTCGGTTCCCCTGTCAGCCCCAGTTAGTCAAGTTTCCCCCCAGCCCTCCGAGGCCGGGCTTGTGGTACACTGTTCACGGTAGCATGGTCATCCTCTCGTAGCTACTTCCCAACAGTTGGACTCTGTCCGTCTTGACATCTATCGGCCCCCCTTCTCACTCCATTCTGGGAACCCTCTACAGCCTTCCTGGAAGACAGGAAGGTTGACTCCCAATGTTCTGGAAGAGGCCCTCACCAAGGAACAGAGGGTTCATCTCTGACCATACTTAGGCTTTAACTAGGATTCTAAGTATTAATTATATGACCACTTACATAAGCCCATTGTCCACCTCACATGAACTTAATAAACCCATAATCACTCAGCTCGCCCTTACACAAGCTGATACCAAATAAGGTCTATATGAGTTACATACTATTCTATTACATATTTCTTCTGGAATCTGATTTATTGCTAACCACCACATCATCCTTTCTTTTATTACATCTACAAGAGACGAAGAATATCATTCATGCAAATGATTCTATCATTTTATTATTCAATGCTTGTGCTGGTCCCGCATTTTTAGCAAAGGGGGATTTTACAGTCTTGGTGTAAAAACTGAGTCAAAAAATAAGTCATTTTAACTCGTTAATTATGACTTCCTTATCTCACGCTCCTTCACATCATTAGTTGTCATGCCCAGAACAGAATCACATTCTCAGGCAAATACCAGTGCTGATAGATGTGGCTGCATTCACCAAGCCGGTGAGTGAAATCTCGGGAGTCATATGAGCAGTTCAGGATCAAACAGTATGAGACCTCATAGCCCACAATGGCCCTCTCAACTCTGCTCTCTACATATAGTGGACTTTTATGGCTCAACTGGCCAATTCCTCACTGTGGCTGCTGAAATGGTGTCAGAGGTTCACAAGCTGTTTTGTGTGCAACCACTGCAGCTAGAGTGAGTCAATATGGAGGAGACCTTTGGATGGGTTTTGTAGACCTCAATCACTGCAGAAGAACAACTAAACACTGAAGTTTAGTTAGACGATCCTGCAGGTGGATGGTGGGAAAAAAGAATTTCCTCTAACTGAAGACAAGCATTTTAAAGGCTCTGCCAGAGAAGAAAGAGCAGGTTAGGGAGATAAAGACTATGTAGACATTTTACAAGAAGGGCCTGAAGGTGCTGCACTACAGCAGTGGTTCAGGTTGCTGACTATAAAGTATAACAAGCAATGAATTGATTAAGCTGGCCAGCATGGAACAGATCCTCTCACACACCCTTCGATCTGGCCTGGAACAAACAAACTCCAAAGGAATTTTAGATGTTGAAAGTTCTATTCAGTGATGCACAGAGTAACTGGGTTATAGAAAAAGAGGCACTGACACAAAATACAAAAAATGCATCCTCCATGATTTTTTGCCTGAACAAGAAAATCCAATCAGAGCTGGGATAAACAGACATCAGGGAGTGTAACCAACCTTAAAGGCAAATTCTACTTCCATAAAAATGAGGGACTTGCAAGTAAAAGATTTTAAATAAGGAGTGGTCACTGGAGCAGAGGCTAGTTTTTAAGTCACTAGAAGGGTTCAAAATCTAAAAGCTATTTCCCAGAAAACAATTCAATAGCACATTTTTAGACATTTTGGTGACGTTACTCAAGTGAAAGTACTAGTACTATGGTGAAACTGCATTTAAGAAAAAGTCAAATTACTTGTTTAAATGTCTACTCAACTAAAAGTAAAAAGTAACTTATTCAAAATGTCCTTTGAGGGGGTGGGGGTGGGCCTTCTCCAGGCAATGCAAAAACACCTATAGCTAACCTGTGACGCGTCTTAACCATATAGCACAAAATGACCAGCTGACTTGGCGTAGGAAATGACGTAATTCATGTTGTTTATGCAATTGTGACTTTTTTTTACTCTGCAATGAAATCCATTCAAAATGTGGCGGAGTAATAAACTAAAAAATAACAGTTAAGCAAAAGTGAAATTACAGAAAAAACACTCAATATGTAAAAGTTGCCTCTACAAAAAAGAAGAAAAATTTGTTAGAGTAAAGGCATTTTGTTACCTTACTTATTGTTATTCTTGTTACCTCATTTACCAGGCATCTCTGCTTGGATGTCTGGTAAATGCCCAAACACTTCACATTTCACACAAAGAAATCCTTTGAAGGAAACATCAGCACTGTTAAACTTCCTAAGCTTGTGTTTAGACACTGGCAGCAGTCCACAGTGACTTAAAATCATAAAACACAACATGATCAACACTTCACTCACCAAGATTTCTCAGTCTCAAAGTACTTTTGAGGCTTTAAACATAGAGTGCACTTTATACATGTCAAGCAAAGCTCACTTGAATGTGTAATAGTGGCCTGTTTATATACAATAAAGGCAAAAAAGCACTGACTAATTGTTTTGGAATAATGATTTTGTATGATTTGTGTTGATATAGTGACTCTGGATTACAGTCACTTTTCTATGCTGTTATGCTCTATATTAATAGTAAATGACAGTTTAAATTCTATATACATTCATCCCTCTGTAGTTAGCTGTAGCATCTTTGTTTACCATCTACTAAACAAGACATAAAAGAAAAAAACTTAGAAAATTTACACAAAGCTCCTTGCTGTGTTTTCTTCAACAGATCAATAAAAACATATTCCTAAACATAAAACAATCTGTATAGTAGACTGTTTTCCTAGATGTCCAAATTATTAGTATTTAGAGTGAAACTATGTACCAGAAACAGGAGGAGCACAAAATATTTTATTAGAAGTGTATCCCTGTCAAAGACTCACGATGAGCCTACAGGACTGCTTGCGAGCTTTTTGTGGCGTTGATCCACATATGAATAACAAGTATATGTACGTTTGGATTAAGATATTTGGAGCAGGATTTAGTTTACTTGCCTACATCAGTAAGTGTACTTCTGCATAGCTCTGTAGGTGCTTTAGCTCATTATTTTCACAGAACCTGCTTTAAATTGCAGGACACATTACACCAGTTATTTGGGCAATAACACAAAAAACAAGCAGAAAATGGTTCTGAGTTGGCAGTTATAGGTTTCAAGTGTACCGAATGTGGATTTTTTTAATTTTTATGTTTGCACATCTAATTTCTACCCGTGAGCTGACCTTTGGTCTTCTCCTGTCGACCAGGGACCATACAGCTCCACTACAGCAGGTTTGATTTGGGGGTCTTGAACAATAATGCTGTTATGGCAGATATTTACTCTGCAACATTTTCCAGCCCAGCTTAGGTTTCAGCCACAAATCTGCCTCTTCAAACTTGAGTCTGTTACATAAAAGGTTTGCTGACTGGCTTCTCTCAGAGGCAGGAGAATGAGCACAACTGCTGCTCATGGGTGCTGACATTACAGGCCAGATTGTTGCTGTCCACTTTACTTGGATCTGAACTAGTGCTCACACAACATACACGGAGAGCATGTTATTTTGGAGGACACAAAAAGATATACTGTACGAAAGACACTCAGCACCCCCTGGTGTCAGGGGAAAGCCCATGATGTTTAAATAATGTACAACATGCTCTATAGGACCTAAGAATATACAGTATATGATTTTAAAAAAGAAAATTGTTGAAACTTAAATGTACCTTTTATAAGATGACAAGCACACATTTATTATTTATGAATATACATGTATAATATTGTCATTTACAAAACACTGCTAGATAAAAAAACAGCACTTTGGCTTGCTTGTCTTGTCTTGTCTTGAAACTTAATAAGTTAAACATTTATTAAACAGAAATTAAGTTAACAAAATAAATTAAAATTAACAAAAAATCTTTACCTCTCTAGATATGGGGATAACCTGCCAATTTAAAACCAGGCTTAAAAACCTCTTTACGCAATCTGCCATTGCTCCATTTATCAAATAATGCTGTCTTTGGTGTCCTTATAATAAATGCAGAACTGGCTTAAATACTACTACTACTAATAATAATAATGATAAAACCAACACTACTACTAATACTACTAACAACACTACTAATAACAATAAAAGTAAACAAATTTGACCGAAATAGGTAAAAACATCCGGTATTGTAGCTTTGATTTCAAAATAAAAGCAAAAGTCCCACAAAGACATGGCTGTAGGTAGACGATATATAGTTATGAATCCTGTGTGTTAGTAAAAAATAAATAGTTTATTTGACTGATAACCGAATGCCCCTTTGTAGTTTGGAGCGTTAAGATTTACGGTATGGTCGACAGTTTATACCGATTATACTGAAAGTTGTTGAACGGAAGTCAGCGTACTTACGTAATCAAGACGTTTTGACTGTTCAGTCGTGGCACAGCTGAACTGTAAAGTCACTGTAGTGCATTAATGAACGTGTGTTACTTATAGTGTTACTGCGGCTGAAAGTCCCTACACCGCTACACTATCGGTAAACGTGCGTATAATTATACTGTTATGACTATCGTTGTAAGATAGTTGTCAGCATAAAACGTTGCCATTTAGTCCAGCTCTAACCGCGCTTGTTATCGCCACGGTAACGTTAGCTTAACATCTTATTATGTGGGTTTTTGGTTACGGATCTTTGATATGGAAAGTGGATTTTCCGTATGAGGAGAAAAGAATAGGTTATATAAAAGGCTTCAGCCGTCGGTTTTGGCAGGGCAGCACCGACCACAGAGGAGTACCGGGTAAGGTGAGTATCATTTAACGTCAATGCTTTTGGACAGCTGCTATCTAACTATTTCCTGGAAAGTCTTACAACAGTTGATGCCATGTTGCCAGTGTTCTCTTGTCAGACCTGTCAAACAGGCCATTTAACGTTAAAGGTTACCCTGTAGCTATGTACAGTTCAACAGTAAAGTCTGTTGACGTTTTTAACTTACTGTAGGAATACTTTCCATATGGCCTGTACTGTACCCATCCAAAAAGCAATACCTGAATGTACAGTAGTGCTGCTACCATAAAGAGATGTGTACAAAAATAAAGTAAGACTTTCAGGATTTTGCTGAATATATCCACAAGTCATTATCCATCTTTCAGAAAGAGGTAGACTTCACACAGTATTGTGATATGTCTCAGATATCAGATTATTTTAGACTGTTTAATGTATGTTCTTTAATGTATGTGTTTTTGCTGCTGTTCGTCTGTGTCCATTACAGCCTGGCCGGGTTGTGACACTTGTGGAGGATCCGGATGTGAGTTAGAGCCCTTCCTACAGATAGTGCATTCATTTGTAATAGAGCTGCAACTAAGAGTTATTTTCATTATCGATTAATATGATCAGTGATCAGTTTAGACTGTAAAACACCTGAAAATAGTGAAATGCCATATATCCTTTCTGTTTTCACAGTCTAAGGTGGTAAATTGGACATACAGTGCCAACTAACCGGTTTTCTTCTTTTACTCTTCTAATTCAGGGGTGTGTTTGGGGCGTTGCCTACAAGCTGCCGACGGGCCAGGAGCAGGAAGTGAAGAGCTACCTTGACCACAGAGAAAAAGGTGGTTATCAAGTCATCACAGTGACCTTTCACCCCCGTCCACCGCTCTGTTCCCCGCCCAGCCAGACGCTGCTCTACATTGGCTCTAAGGACAATCCAAACTACCTCGGCCCCGCCCCTTTGGAGGACATAGCCAACCAGATCATCAACTCTACTGGTCCAAGTGGGAAAAACACGGAGTACCTGTTTGAGCTGGCTGATGCTGTGAGGACAATTCTGCCTGAAGACTTTGACACTCACCTGTTTTCTCTAGAAACCTTAGTGAGGGAAAGACTAAAACATGGGCAGGAACACTCATACAACCAGACTGACTGTAATTAGATAAGGAAGTCTTGATCAGTGCTATATACCAGGCTGGATTTAAATATCCTCAGGGTTCGAGATATACTGTACATGGTTCCGGTCAGGATATTTGTCAAGTACAGGAAAAAAGATCTGTAGAAATGTCACATTTTTGCAGGGGGAAAAAAACAATATGCTGCGAATAATATGAACCTAAAGCTGCTTCAAAATAACACAATGGTGTGTACCGTATCTGGCACTTAAACTACATGGTGAATGGTTACAAATATGCTTTGAGTAAACTTGATTTTACTCCTTGTACCCAAGAGCACAAAGAATGTCTTGAATAAACTGTATATTCTAATACATTCACAGATACAAATGGTATAATTTTCTAAATGCGAAATGCAAAACTCCAGAGACTGAAATACTGTATGATGGCTTGAGAAATAACTAAGACAGTTTCTACACTGAGATAGAGTTGTATGTTCATGTAGGAGCTCGTGTCACTCAACATACAAATCTGAGAAATTTTGCCTTCAAGGTCTTTGATATGTTAGTGCTGATTACACAACACCTGCATAAGTACCATTAGAGTTTATATTACTTTGTACTATTAATGCCATTTTTATATGAATGCTACATACAGTATATAAAATTTATAAATGTGTTTGAATAGATTTTATTACAAAGAAAATTACATTTTTCTAAAATATGTACTGTATTGCGCTAAAAGTTGCTTTTTAAATCTCTAAAGTAAAGTGGCCACCTTTGGGGGTGTTGAGCAGTTTGGTGAGGCAAAGTAAACACACCAAGTTGAATATTTGAAACTATTTCGCCCGGGACTGCTTTCCTGCTGGGTTTACTAAAGGCCAATTAGTGGCTGGTGAGGTTGACAAGGTAGGGCTCTCAGCCACCGCAGCATTATCACACGTTATCACAACAGTGTTTAAGGTGCAATAATGTATTTATGATAGTGGTCAGTCAGTCTGCAGAGGAGCTGGAAAGGCAGCTGGCTGTCTAGGTATAGTAGCACAGTGACCAGCAGGTCTGTGAGCACAAGCAGCTGGTGCTCCTGCCAGTTATCATGGTGAGAACACCTGAACTTACACAGGGTCTTCGTCACTGTCATCTTGGGACAGAAAACCAAAATCATTACTACCATGGAAAAATAAAACAAAACGCTACTTTTTACTGCACTACAGATGTTAATTGTGACTGTTTAAGATTTTACAAGCAAGGATCAACTTAATATCCATGTTTATCACACCTTTGTCTACAACAAAGCACATAAATCACTGATAAAATGACTATTTAATAGTAGAGGAATCAGAGTAAACAGTAATTAAATAGCCCATCCTGCCTTCTTGTGCAGGATTTTGCTAGCAAACTTTGTAACAGATTAAATCACACAGCCCTTCATCTGTATACCTGAATATTACAGGGTTTTACTAAGCCATAAATCAGTGTTGAGTTCTTGAATATAAATGTAATTTTCACGAGCAAGTCACACAACTCACGAGCTGTTTTCCTCCTGAAAGCTTGTTAATCTGCCAAGTCAGAGGAAAAATACTAGTTTTCAGCTGCACCTAAAGACATTTGACAAACAGTATGTCAGATATGATTCAGGGGCCAAACTTGTTTAATGTGCACATGTGTCTTAATTTTGGATTTGACAAGATATTTTCCAACCATTTTTCTTCAGAGTTGAATAAAAGCTTACTTAGAACAGAGTTAACATTAGATCCCAAATTATTACATTATATAGCAGCATATCAGCCTCCTCAGAGACTAGTACGCAGAGCTCTTCTGGCCATGAAAAATGAAAATATTCCATCTAAATGTACATTTTAAAGTGGTCTGTATCAAAGTTAGGACACTTCCATTAAACTCTCCAGTAACAAAGATAATGCTGCTAGTTCTTGCTTCATTTGCTTTGAGGAGCAAAAAGTTAGGAGCAGATAACAGCTCATAACTGCTATGTATTATTACACTGAGAGCTCCCCTCAAGTTTAACAGTGGAACTAAAACCAAGTAGTCGTCCCTGGTTAGAAATAATTCCTGACAATATAAAATGCAGATTAGAATTCAACAGCTGACAATCTTCCCAGCAATGGTCTCATTTGTTTTCATTAATGAAAAACTAATGAGGTCAAAATTATTTATTGATGTTAGAATGCCACACATAACAAATTAAATACACAAGATAGAAATGATTTAAAGTGAAAAACTAGTGTGGTACAGCAAGGACACAAAAACAGGGAATTAAACTGATGATCACTACAACTGAAGAAATATTCATGACTTAAACATCGGGTATATTCATTTTACATCATGGCCTTGAAACAAAATGATCAGATTAGATCTGAAGGAAGGAAGGAAGAAGGTGCCCTCAGCCTGACAACCAACACTGCTATAGAATACAGATTAGTGAGCATCCCTTATGATTCTGAAGAAGATTTGCTACTTCTACCATTTTATATAAAATTAAGATTTTTTTTTCTCTGGTAGTGTTTGTAACAGACTGGGTAACTCATCTACTTATTTTTTGTACTGTACCCTATTGTATTTTCTTCCTCATCTCTTTCACTTTGCAACAGGAGAAGCACTAAACTGTAATCATCCAACGCTGTAATATATTATTCAAACTCTGCACTACGGATTACATTGCATGTCTTCTTCATGCCTGAAGTAAGGCCAAAGATGCAATTTTCTCCTCAACTGAACAATGAAATTGTATTCTTTCAGCTCACTCTGTGTTGAGCTAGGTGTTTGTATACAAGTGTGTTTGTACTAATGTGTGTGTGTGTGTGTACCTCTATAGGCTGTGGGTCGTTGAGATGGTTGCTCAGGTCCATCAACATCTGAGGCATCTAGTCTGGAACATCATAGGGGCTTGATAGGATGCATGAACTGAGGCCGAACACTCCAGCATGGCACTGCACCAAGTCGGCACACACACACAAACGGACACTTAAAACAGGCCTTAGAATTTCAAGGTTCACAGTTCCCCTGGGATAAGAAAGAGTAATATGGCAAGTAATAAAGCCTCATTGTGCTAGTGTGACAAGCACGTAAATGTGTGTGTACTTGTGGAGGCTAGTACTCCTCTGGCCTTGGGGAGGTGAGTCTGACTCAGCGTCTGGAGCTGTGTCTGCAGATTGGAGTCCAGAGGGAAGAACTGGCACTGCAGTAAACCGCTGAGGGTGGTGCCTGCCATGTCTCTTACCTACAGGGAGAAGGAGGAGGGAGGTAGGTTGGGAGGCACAGTAAGGACAGAAAGAGTCACAATTACAAAAAGGAGACCCGTGAAGATCAGAATAAAAAAAAAGCAGTGGAAAGCATGAGGCAGCTTTACGGCTAGAAACAAATACACAATTCATGAAAAGAGGTGAGTGCAAGAAGATCGAGGAAAAGCAAGGTACAAGGGACAAAGATGAGCAGCAGGGGCATAGCTGCTGAGTTGAGCTGAGGTAAAATTCACTTGCAGAACGTCGCTGCCTTCCTGCATCACTTTGCATAAATTATGAATCAGCACTAAGTGACGGTTGATGCATTGAGACAGACACATTCACCAGCTGCACACAAAATATTGAGAAGCAACTGTTTCTGTAATTTGGACAGTCAAAACAAATGGGCTTCACTAGTTTATATTTTGAAATTATTTTCATTCAATACACATTTTTAGATCGCACGAAATATAGTGAAGGTGAAGGTATGTCACGCCATTGGGACGGGGATGCCATATTTGGAGGTATGCATTGTATTTACCGACATATATTGCATTGTTTGGCTAAAAAGTTGCTTAAATCGTTTAGATCTCAGCCTGTAGTATTTCAAGACAGACAACCTTAGTTGACTGCAACTAACTTGGAGTAGACCTAGAGATCCCATCAACAAGAGCGACAGACTGAAAAATGTCTGACATTGATCTGATATCTGGTTGATAACGAACATGATGCTCCAAACATTGCACACTTACCCAAAATTCAACACGGTGTGACAACATCGCATTCTCTATAGCTAGCTACAAAAGGGTGTAACAGCCATGATATTCTGTCAACATCCCTGTAGCCATAAGAAAACAAAATAGAAAAATAAAATAAGTGCAGTAAGATGCAGGGTTATTTTGAATCAGCAATGGTGAACAGAAAAGAGGGATTAAGGCTTAGTGAGAAGAGACGCCAGGACAATGAGCAGCCCTTTATGATCCTACCTTAGAGAGGGGCTGTGTTAAACCAACATTTGCTGCCTTTTTGCGCATACATTACCTCGAGCTGTTCATCATGCAGCAGCTGCGTCACCAGCTTTTGGATGCGGAGCACCTCAGCAGGCACACTGAGCAGGGTAAACACGTTGCAGAAAACCATGATCTAGAGGTAGGTCAGAACTGAGAAGCATGCATGCTATGATCTGCTGCTTGAGATAAAGAGAGATTGAGTTTGTAGAGAGTCCCCGCTGTCCCAGAAGATTGTTTTTACACATGTTGTGCAAACAAGATATGCTGTGGACACAGAAGATACATACGTTCTGTGCACATATTGCAATCCTGACAGAAGATAATTTTGTCTCAAGTCATATTCCCTATCGGTTAATCAAGTTTTACTTTGTGAGGCTATACCTGGACAAAAAAGCATTTGAGATCATACAAAACTCACAGCAGAAATACTGCAAGTGTCACAAGTTAAGTAAATTAAAATAGAATAGGCTGTTTTTAGTCTAACACCTTGGGCAGCATTAAACCCAGGACACTGATAGCAGGCAGGTGTGTGTTTGTATGTGCATATTACTTCTTCCACTGCCGCCACAACTGGGGTGGGGGTGCTTAGGATTCAGCAGCTCTGGGACATGAAACACGTGTGCGCGTCCTGCTTCATCTCATCATAGCTGTCATAAATCTCCACTGGGGCAATCTGTAAGGAGAGAGAAACAGTGAGAGAGATGAAGAGTGGTAGGAAGACACAGCTACGCACCATTTTGAGTAAATGAAGAGAGAAATTGAGTTTAATGGGGAAGTAAGATTGAGTGGGTAATAATGCTGTGCTGGGACCTGCGAGCCTATGTGTGTTTGTGTGTTACCTTGAAGAGCAGAGGCGGGAGCTGTAGCTGCTGCTGAACAGGAGTGGTAAAAACTCGCCCTGTGCTCGCCATCAACCATTTCAGCACTGCAAATGGCACACAAACACTCATACGCGTGGAGGAGAGTTTGGGTTGCTGCCAAATAATACCAGCAACAGACTTGGTGTTGTGACCTTACTGCATGGCTCTGGTAACAAAACACTATTGATCTAGATTTAGTATCTAATGACTTGACTAATTTCATGACCCGATATTTAACCGTGTAATGAAGATGAGTAATAACAAAAACTGAAAGAGCGACAGTGTGCAAATGTTAAGAAATTGAGTCTTTGCAAAACCAGTATTGTACCACATAAACAGGTGTGAATAAACCTAAATAGAAGTCAAAATCTTTATCTAAATTAAAGTATCTACTCCCGACTACATTTGATTTTGAAATAACAGTCTGGCTTTTAGAAACACACCTACAGCTTGACTTCAAATGGCAAAATAAAAAATAAAACTACTTTTGCGGTTT